TTGCCAAATGAAGCCAATCTTACAGGACTATCCTGCAGAACAAATATATATTTTGCATATTTAATATGATATGTGTATGTGTGTAAACACACACACACACACACACATACATATATACAGGGAGAGAGAGAATGGTTTGCCTGCTGACTTGCCATTAAGTACCGTAAACATCCTGCAAATTGTGAACAGCTAATTGGAAAACAGTCTGTCCGTGTTCATGATTCATTGTATGCATCCTCTTGATCTCAACTCAGGAAATCCACAAAGCTGTCCAGGCCCTGCTGTCATTTTGTGGCCAGATATGGAGAGATCTAAACCACCTCCTTTCTTCCCTGTCAAAACAGTTGTGCCACATCCTCCCTCTCTTCCTCATCTTGACTGACCCCCTCACAGGTGGTGTGTCTGTCTCTCCTGCCCTGCCCCCACACACACCTTTATTTCTTTACCTCAATCTTTCAGATTTGCTCTTTGCTCCTAAATACAATCTTCCTTCCAACCTCTTGTCATGTCATTTGTGGGCCAGGAAAGATCCTGATTATGCTACAGTGCCACTGTACGTGTTTTAAAAAGAAGGAAAGCTGTACATTTGATACTAAATTTGGCATTTTAAATAAAGGGCTGGTAAAAGAAATCTCTGAGTGCTAATCCCCAAGAAAGGGATGGAAGACTGGGGAAGGAGAATCTGCTTCCTATTTCCACCATTTCAATAGCCTGACATTTTTTTTTACCTTGCCCATATCTTTCATAATATTTTTGTTTTATTTTTTAAATTACTCCCATGATGGTAGAGTTGATTTGAACTCTTGTTTTTCCATTTTAAATATACAAAATTTCAGTTATTTTATGGATTAAAATAAGCACCATGGACCATCCTGAGCATCTGATCACCACTGATAAGACAATTATCCTTCTCAAGTTCCGTGTACACTTGTAGATTACAGATACACTTGTGGATTACAACCTGTTTACAACTGTAAAGAGCCAAATTGACTAAAATCAGAAAAATTTCAGACTTCAGTATTGAGACTATATGGATTATCTGGTGTCTCAGTAGAAGGTAAGATTATGGAAATCCATTTCCTAGTTCTAGACTCTGCAAGCAAATAGTATGATATCTGACTAGTTAATCCAGTATCTCAGACAACGCCATATAGTAAACAAAGACTACTTGACCACAGAAAACAAATGATATATGTATAATATATAATCCACATAGAGTAAACATGTATTATATTTTATATATTTTATATACTGTAGAGGCATATATTGTACTACACATATACATATTGCATAAGAGATATAGTAAACTATATTTGTATTTTCCAAAATTAAATATATCGCACTTCCCCTACCATAGTGAAACTGTCTCTTCTCCATTCCTTACTGCATTCCTTACTATAGAGTAATACTAACACTGAGCACAGTCATATTTCACCACTCAGGATGGAGCCAGCGGGTACAGTAATGGTTCTTGTCCTCCACTATCACAAGAGACCAGTGGCTGTGAATGGGCTGGGATTTTTTTCTTTCCTCTAATGAACCAAGCCCTGGGTTTTATTGTTGTTGTTTTAATATACAGCTAATGAGTGTTTTGTAGCCACACACAACAACACACACACACACACACACAGTCCCTAGCAAGGGCAGGGTGGGACTGGCGGGCTGGGTTCCTCTACGAGCCTCTCACCATCCGTTTCTCCCAGTGACAGCAGCTATGTTTGAAGAGCATAACTGCATGGTTTCCTATGCATTGATTCATGAGTAGTAGCTGTCACATCTTATTAAAAAGATACACTGTTATTACTTTTAAAGAAAGAAAAGGATTGCAATTCACATTTACAGTTTCCAGCCTGTTATGTCGTTTAAAAAACAAACAAACACACAAACAAAAAAGATGGCAGAAGAAATGTTTGCATCCGTAGTAGGCATCAAGTTTATTTTTCAAATCATTCTGTTTTAAAGTGTTCATAGACTTGTAGTTGTTTATAGGTATGAGGCACTCATCAGTGTGAAATAGTTATTTCCTTTCCATATTTCCTCTTATCAGGAAAAAAAAATCCCTTTGTTCTTACAATCGGTTTTGCTAAATTATTTGTGAGTTTTTATAAAGTGTGTTTAATATCACCAGGGCAGAGGTTCAGACTAGTTGCAGGATTAGCAAGAGGGACGTAGCATGAGTAGTCTTTGGTCCATTGCAGTGTGTTTCATGTGCTAGCGATCATGAATTTATCTTATCCTTGTTTAACTACTACACAGCGAGTGAGCTGTCCTGTATTGTTCCATTCATATTCCTCTGAGTTCATTCAGAAGCCTGACACTTCCTTTGCCGGACAGATAAAAGGGGCAGCGTGGGACCTTTCGGTGATGTGAAACCTGCTTTCTTAGTCGAAGCTCCCTAGGCTATGCTGACCACTCAGAGGTTGAACTACTATTTATTTGCCCTAAAATGAACCAGAAACTTGGTCTTAATTTCCTTCCTGACAAGTGTTTTAATTTCCTAAAAGTGTACAGATTTTGTAGTGGGTTGTTTTTCAATCTTTCATTTTTAGTGCTGATCCAGGAGAGAAAGGAGATATGGAAACTTTTTTTTTTTTCCCCAAAAAATAGCTCAAAAGAAAATATGTAAAACCATGAAAAACACAGAATTGTGCTGCTGCTTTCTGTGCTAATCAAATCAGTGGGTGTTAGGTTGTAATGGTGACCCTTTAACTGTGTGGCTTATCTATCATTCCATTTTATATTATTTTCTTCCTCATGAGAAAATCAGTGTTTATTATCACAGGTGACAAAACACAGGAGATACACAAACAGAGAGGTTACATTTAATCACTTTAAGTGGGTTTCATCTTTGCTTTTTTGTTTTCATTCCCAAGCCAGAAGCCTGTAAACCAAGCGAGAGTGCAAATTGCCTTTCTCAGGTGCACATCGCTGAGATAGGCTGGGAGAACAGGTGTGGAGCTCATGCAAAGATAAACATTAAGTCATTCTTGGTGAAACGATATTTAGCTAGACAGCTGAAGACGGACTTTTGAAATAGCATTGTGATACTGCTGTTCAAATATTGACTAAGTGAACCTGGAAAGGAAGAAATTTTGGTCGCCTAACATAGAATTCCTTGTCTTTTTCTGTCTTTATCTCAAAGACCCAACAGAAGGGGTAGTTTACCTAAGAAAGAAATATGAGCTTTGCTTATGGAGTTTCAGGTATACCTAACGTAGGCTTAATTAAGCAAATACAATTTAGCAGCCTTGCATTTAGCAAAGCACTCTTTTATGTTTCCTGGCCATTTCTTCTAGGAGATGACTTGCCCGTCGGGCAGATTAGAATATTTACTGCAATGCGTCTTTCATCCCTCACTGTGACTCTGTAACCACGGTAGATGTGGGAAAGTCATTAAACATCAGCATGAAGATTTACAAAGAAATAGGAAGTTCAAGTTAAGCAGATATTTAGGATATAGTTTGCCTTCCACATATGTCAACCTGTGTTGCTGCATACTTTTTAAGCTTAGCGTAATTATTTACACAGCTACGAATTTTAGAAGATGTTTAAAAGCGCACCACAGTGACCTGGGAAAGGAGGGAAACTTACTGGAGCACTGAGCCAGGAGCTTAAAAAGACATTGCTAGTGAGTTTCATATTACATGAAATCTGTATTTGATAGGTCATTTTGGTAAGTTTTTGTTTTCAATGACTCCTCTTGACACAGTAACCAGTGGTGCTGGGAACATTCATTCACATTGATTCGTTTAAGCTCATGACTCAAATAATAACTTAGTTGTTTTCTCTCTGAAGGTAGGGGAGGTAATGAGAAGCACAGATTAGGCTCCAAAATCCGTTCCGAGATTCAGATAAGGTGTCCTAACAAAAGGCTTATGGTGAAATGAAAGAGTGAGAAAATAATTGTGCTTTTCTAGGGTAACGTGTCAAATGAGGCTTACCAACTTTTAAAAGACTATATACCTTTAGATAATCACATTCCCTGCCATGTAAACATTGTGATGTAATGGCATCATCATGCTACTTAACAACGTATGCATTTTGTTTAAACTTCCTTTAGAATACATATAGTCCATATAAAGAAAATTCCAGGGTCGTTTTGGGTTTTATATAAATAGCTCCCATGTTTACATGTAAAAAAAATTATTTGTGAAAGAAAAACAGAGCTTTCAATATCCTATTTTGGTTACATCTCCATAAAAAGTCTAGGAAACAGTGGGATCATCTGTGAAACAGTGGAATCACCCCAAGAACAAACTGTCAGATAGATTGTCCTGTCATGGCATGACTTGAACATAACCGTCCCACGTGGGGACGCATGCCGCACTGGTTGCTGGAACTGACGGGGGCTGCAGTGCTGAATACCTTTGGGACGCTTGGGAAATGTGCCCCTGTTTACAGATGGCAAAAGCCCTTAGCAGTAGGGCCCTGAGATTCTGAGAAACACAAGGTCTGCTTTATTTAATTTCCTCTCGTTTACAAAGAGTCACAACCTATTTTAGTAAATAAATTCAGGAAATTGGTAAAGCACTTTACTCCATCCGTTATGCCTCGGTCATCAGCATGCTTGTCACGGTCTTCCTGGCTCGCGGGCTGCTGTGGCTCACAGCCTTCCCTCACTTGCCTGCAACCAGCTGAGAACCTCCGTGGTGATGGGTGTTACTGAGCTTAAACGATGTAAACAAACAAAACGGCACACAAGTTGTGCAGAGAAGTGTATTTCCTCTACCTTGTTAGTAGAGATTTCTAACTTTAGAGATTTTCTGTATTGACTCTGGCATTCTTTCCAAATAATTATTTTCACCCCGGGGACGACCCACACACCCTGGGATAGAATAAAAGAAATGATCTTTCATTTGAGGGTACCAGCAACCCGCTCTCCAGCACTAATCCTCTTTATCCTTCTTCTTCTTTTTTTTTTGTTGTTAAAACCTGAGCTGCTGCCAAGCTGATCTTAATAGCATGGATTGTTCACAAAGACAGATGGATTTTTTTCCTACCTTCATTAGCCACTGAGTGTTGTTTTCCATGATGTTCTCCAGCACTTGCAGCCTCTGCACCGAGTCATCGTATTCTAGCGGCGCGTCCCTCTGCACAGCATTGGACACGTAGGGGCTGGAGGAAGAGCGGCAGTTGTCCATCTCTGGCAGGAGGAAAGTGTAGCTGCAGGACCCATGCTGGACCTGATACTGCTTCTTTCCTATGCTGTCCATGCTCTTCCGAAAGTTGTTATAGGCTGCGGCCAAGACAAGATCACAGCTCAGGGTAAAGAAAACAATCTGCCACATTCTTTCTTCAGTAATAAGCCAGCAGCTTAGCAAACTTGAAGGCACACACAGGTCCAGAGTCCCGAGCTGCTGCCGTCTAAAACGCAGGGCTCCTACGCTGCCGTGGCCGGGTCCGTCAATGAAAGTCTTCTCTTTCCTCTTTTTCCAGTAGCAAACTTGGTTTTTAGTGCTGTGTTCTCTCCAGGCATGCAGTAAACTGTCAGATTGCAGTGGGAAGAACAGTCCTGCTCACTTGGGAGGGCTGTGTCAGCTTTTACAGAGCAGCTTTCACGGTCCTTTGTTCCTCTCTCCCCAGATCCTACAGTGTCAGTATCCGAATCAATCACTTTCCTTTCCTTATATGATAAGTTGATAAGAGCAGCCAGACATGTGTAGTGGGCTGCTCCGCCCTCCTGGCTTATCCGTTATCTTCCTGTAGGGGGTCACTAGCCAGGCAACAGGAAAAATCAGAGCAGAATGCCTGCCGTCCAACCAGGACCCATGCCGCAGAAACCCTCTGGGAAAAACCGATCTGTCACAGGACCCCTGGGCATTTCCTAGGCACCACCCCAATTAAGTATTTCCTAGAGAGAGCAGTTGATCTCTTTTGTCTGAAACTGATTTTGCCGTGCTAAACTGGCAAAATATCTGAGGTAATAACTTTAATGTTAAAGTACAATGAAAGTTCCTGTTTTTTCCTTTAGGAATAAAAATACTACAAATAGGTCAGGACTTCGGTTTATTTTTGTTATTACAAATAAAGAGGAAGAAGTTTGGCTCCTGTAAATGTGTGCCTTTTCAGAGGGAAAAATAGATTCATTGATATTAGTTGATTCTTGAAACACTAGCCAAGTTAGAAAAGATTTTCATTTCAAAACAGTTGGATAGGGAGATCTTCTGTTATTAAGTCACGTTAGAAACATCAGTTTCTGAGCTCTGACCTTTATTCTTTAAAAAAAAATCCACTTGGATATTCACACTAACAATGCACTGTACTGATTAAGTTCATTGCATTACAATAGAGAAATTAGAATTTAAGTGTGTGTGTAGAAAGAACAACACAAACTTTTTTTTTTTTTTTTTTGAGATGGAGTCTCGCTCTGTCGCCCAGGCTAGAGTGGGGCAATTTCGGCTCACTGCAACCTCTGCCTCCCGGGTTCAAGTGATTCTCTTGCCTCAGGCTCCTGAGCAGCTGGGATTACAGGCGCACGCCACCACGCCCAGCTAATTTTTATATTTTTAGTAGAGGCGGGGTTTCACCGTGGTAGTCAGGCTGGTCTCAAACTCCTGACCTTGTGATCGACTCGCCCCTGGCCTCCCAAAGTGCTGGGATTGCAGGCGTGAGCCACCGTGCCCAGCCCACAAACTTCTTTATTGTGTCAGGATTTGTTGACATCTCAGCATTTTGTAACACATTATCAATTACATTAGTCCCCCTTGGTATTAGACTCAGACAAGTCACTTCCCTATTTTAATTAAGCTCTAATGTCCTCATCTGTGCAATTCAAGGGGTGCACTCACAGGATTTTTCAACTTCAATCCTATGGCTCTGTAAATCCTACGAGTCAGTTCCTTTAACAACTAAAACTTAATACTTCAGAGATTAATAATATGTTAACTCACCAGCCCAAGTGTACATAGGGAAAAAGCCCCTTGCCTTTGCTGTGGTTTGTTTATCTCTCAAGATACAAGGTTTATTATTCCCAGTGAGCGCTGAATACCTGGTACCCTGACTTAACAGACCACGTCTACCCATAAAAGATCTTTATTTTTCACTAAGTTCTAACCGAAAGACAGCCTTTCCTTTATCTGTGAATAGTTAACAAACAGCAGTGTGAATATCTGTGACTTTCTCATCCTCAGAAATCAGCTATTTTTATTTGCTGTCACAATACTCTGAAATACATTTTTATTAAACCCACCCCTAGATGTTGCTACTGCACATTTGAATAAAGTAGCATGTGTCTTCTTTTGAGAAGGTGTTTATAGGCTTCACCAGACAACCACAGGGTTCTGTTGCACAGAAAAGCTGGAAGACGCTCTCTGGAAGGATTCCATTAGCAGAAGAGATCCTATGATTCCACCAAGGTTCTGGACATGGTTTCCACTAAGGGAACCCATGAAAGACGCTATACCCATCCGGACAGTGCTCCGTCGAATAAAGCATATAGGTCTTAAAGATGAGACCTGTGTTAGAACCCTGCTTCTGTGTGACTCCGGCAAATGCTTCTCGAAGCCTCGGTCTCCCTACTCATAAAATGGAGATCATTTTTTCTCTGTAGGGTTTTTAGGATTAAGATATAATTGTGTGTTTAGAAATATTAGTTCCTTTTCTTTACAGGCATGTTCCATTAGATGGGAATCAGTTCTTCCACCATCAAATAGTGTAACTGTGCTATTCTCTGAATGTGAGGCAGTGCCATAGGGTGCAATTTTTTTATTTCCTGTTTGAAAAAGTGTATTATAAGGTATTAATATCACATATGTGGTTTTACCTTTTTTTACAATTATTTTTTGTAGAGACAGGGTCTCACTGTCGTTGCCCAGGCTGGTCTTGAACTCCTGGCATCCAGTGATCCTCTTGCTTTGGCCTCCCAAAGTGCTCGGATCACAGGTGTGAGCCACTGCACCTGGCCGGCATACGTGGTTTTAAAAGTCATTCAGTTGTCTTCCAGGCAAATAGGGTAGTTTAAAAGGAACAATAGAAAGTGGGCACACCAAAGTACTTTTTGTCTGCCAGCCTTGTGTCAGACACCACGCTATGCACTGGGGATAGAGATGAAGGCAACTGGGTATCTGACCTAAAGAAGCTAATAGTGTATGGAGAGGGAGAGACCCATGTACAAATTGGATGTGATAAGAGAGAGCAGTCAGAGCACACAGGAAGACAATGATGCTTCTGGGCAGATAACATGCTGTGCGCAGCTGGCATGGACTCCGTCCTTTTCAAATCCCCTCAAGTTCCGAACATGGGAGGAACAGCTCTTTGGAGATTCCTAAATGGAAATTATCCAAACTAGAGAGTCAGGGGAAGCTCTATCAGACCTGGAGTTGGCAAACTCTGTAAACTATCAGATGGTAATAATGTTCAGCTTTGCAGGCTATACGGCCACCGTCGCCACCACCCAAAGCTGATGTGGTGCAAAGCAGCTATGGACAGCCTAACTGAGTGAGCGTGCTGGGCTCCAGTAAAGCTTTATTCGTGGTACTGAAATTTGAATTTCTTTTAATTTTCACATCATGAAATATTCTCTGTATTTTCTCCAATCATTTAAAAGTTTAAAAAACATTCTTAGCTCATAGGCTGTTAGAAATCAGGCCTGGACTGGAGCTTGCTGGCCTCCGAGAGCCTAGGTGGTCTGTGGGGGTAGGAGGTGCTGGGCAAGGCCGTCCACAGTGCACGCGGTGTGGTGACCATGTGTGGTTGGCAGGGCCGTCGGCAGTACACACAGTGCAGCCACCACTGTGTGTGGTCAGCAAGGCCATCCACGGTCTACACAGTGCAATAACCATGTGTGTGGTGAGCAAGGCCATCCACGGTCTACACAGTGCAATAACCATGTGTGGTGAGCAAGGCCATCCACGGTCTACACTGTGCAATAACCATGTGTGGTGAGCAAGGCCATTGACACTGTATGCCGTGCAGCAACCGTGTGTGGTCAGCAAGACCATGGATAGTGCACACAGTACAGTGACCATGTGTAATCAGCAAGGCCATACATAGTGCATGAAGTGTGATGACCATGTGTGGTTGGCATGGCTGGCGACAGTGCACACAGTGTGGTGACCATGTGTGGTTGGAAAGGCCATGGATAGTGCACGCAGTGTGGTGACCATGTGTGGTTGGAAAGGCCATGGATAGTGCATGCAGTGTGGCGACCACGTGTGGTTGGCATGGCCGTCAACAGGGCACACGGTGTGGTGACCACGTGTGATCAGCAAGGCCATGGATAGTCCACGCAGTGTGGTGACCATGTGTGATCAGCAAGGCCATGGATTGTTCACACGGTATCGTGACTATATGTGATCAGCAAGGCCATGGATAGTGAATGCAGCGTGGTGACCATGTGTGGTTGGCATGGCTGTCGACAGTACACACAATGTGGTGACCATGTGTGGTTGGAAAGGCCATGGATAGTGCACACAATGTGACCATGTGTGGTTGGCATGGCTGTTGACTGCACATGGCGTGGTGACCATGTATGATCGGCAAGGCCATGGATAGTGCACACAACACGGTGACCAGTGTGATTGGCAAGGCCATGGATAGTGCACACGGCGTGGTGACCATGTGGGATCGGCAAGGCCATGGATAGTGCACATGGTGTGGGATCGGCAAGGCCATGGATAGTGCACATGGCGTGGTGACCATGTGTGATCGGCAAGGCCATGGATAGTGCACACGGCGTGGTGACCATGTGGGATCGGCAAGGGGTGACCATGGGATCAGGGTGCACACGGGGTGACCAGTGGTGGGGATGACCATGGTGTGGATCGGCGGCACAGGGCCATTGGGGAATAGTACCAGCCAAGCCGGGTGGCCGGTGGTGACCATGTGGTGGGATCCAAGGCCAAGGGTGCCATGTGGATCCAAGCATGATAGCACACGGTGGGTGACCATGTGGATGCAAGCCACGGATAGTGACACACCGGTGGTGGTGGGTGACCACGGATGTGGTGGTGGATCCGGGGCAAGGGCCAGGCCACGGATAGTGCACACGGTGTGGTGACCATGTGTGGTCGGCAAGGCCATGGATAGTGCCACCAGGAGAGTGTGGTGACCACCGTGTGAACAGGGGAGGGGAGAGCTGCTGCCTCGGCTCAGCCTTCTGTGTGACTGCTTACAGGGGCTTACTAAAGGGATAGAATAGGTGCCCAGAGAAAGTGCCACATTGAAGTGAATCAGGGATGCCAGGTAGGGAGAGGGGCCAGGAAGTGGCCTGGGGAGCTCAGAGCTGCGGCCCCTAGGGAAGTGGAGACAGGGTCCATCAGGCCACTGACCAGAAAGCCTGGGGGAGGCAAGGGGAGGCCCTTGAAGGCATTAGGTGTAGAGCCTGGAGCTGTGGGTGTCCAGTAACACCGCCATGCAGCCTGGGGGTCTGAGGCCACCCATCTGGGACCCCTTCACTCTCAGTGAGGCTTGGCTGGGGGATCTCAGAACTCCAGAGAAAATCTTGGGTGTTCCTCCCTGCCGCACTTCAGGCAAGAGGCAGGTGAGACTGTCAGACGAGAAACATTGTCGCAGGCTCCCAAAAGCCACCTGCCTACCCACCCAATGTTTTTCCGTAATAGTTCTGCTGAACAGCTGTGCATAGTGCCATTTATTTCCTTAATCCTGTTTGGTTTCTCCCCCATATTGTGTGTCATCAACTGACATTTCAGAGGTTCCCATGTGTTCTCTGTGGAACTGTCTCAAGTTCTTATTACCCTGGTTGACGACACCAGAAAAACCACAGCTACCTACTCCCAGAAAGAGGCCAATGTTACAAAGAACCTCGTGGCCAGCCCTTTTGGCTCAGTTTGCCCAGTTGGAGGCCCTAAGGCACAAACAAGAAAAGCCAAAGGGCCTCCTGAGGACCGTGGAAGTGGGTGGTGCGTGGACCCATCACTGGCT